AAGGCAGATTTCAATGAGACTGTTTTTCTTCCATATCCCAAGGGATAAATAAAGTTGTCTAAGTACTTTCCATCCCTCAACCCCGCCCACCTACCGACCACCGCCCCTCCTTCTCCTCCTCATACTTTCCAAATAAAACAGCTCCCTCTGTGCGTCACCGCTCTCCGTTTCTCAGCTGCGTGTCTGCTGGAAGGAAGCAGGGATGTCGGGTACCATGCTGCTGTCTGCGCTCTGGGCTCTGTGTCTGCTGTGGAGGGCCGGTGCCATGGAGCGAGGTCCGCTCAGTCTAAACGAGATGTTCCGGGAGGTGGAGGAGCTGATGGAGGACACTCAGCACATGCTGGATGAGGCGGTGCACCAGGTCTGCGTCACATTTTATCCATTCACATCAAAGCACAGCTCTGGAGAAACAATTGGGATTTTATTGCAGATTAATCTACATGATTATGACAGAAAAATGTCGGTTAAAGTTGAAAGGAAAGGCATTGTGTTTTGATTGTGAAGTTTCTGGCAGGTTTAGAAGGTTTGGGCAGATTAGTCAGAGTTTCCATGTTTGCGTAAAGCCTGACCAAAGGGCTCAGAATGACTCCAAATGAGCTGGAAAGGCTGAGTTCCTTTCAGACTTCATGGAGACCCCAGAATGACCTCCTTTTTGGATTCACTGTTATCTCCAATTTCACTGGAGCAGTTCCATTAAGCCCACTGGAATGACTCACTGTCTGGCTTTGATAATAGGAGGGGGCACTGAAAAAAATACAACCATTTTTGGCATCTACTGAATCCTATTCAATTTCAATTCAGTTTATTTCTACGGCATCAATTCACAACACATGTCATCTCAAGGCACTTTCCAGTTCACCAGATCATCCAGTCAAGTTGATCTAATGTTTTCTATCTAAGAGAAACCAGTTGATTGCAGCGAGTCATTGACTCTTCAGCAATCCCTCACACTAAGCATGCTTGTAGTGACAGTAGAGAGGAAAAATGTATGGGTATGCTGCAATTTCAGAGGCAGGTTGATAGAATGTAAGATTTCGGCCATGTCTCGACCAGCTTTACTCATCCAGGGGTTTAAACCTTTGCTCATTTTTCTCACAATCTCTGAAACTTGGCCAGATAGCATAGAATGGGGCTGTGAACATTTCATCTCAGATATTCTTTACTTTTCTGTCAAGATACTAAAAGGTTACATTTTTGTCTCATCTGACCAGAGCAACTTCCGGAACAGGTTTGGCCTATCCTCCGCTTGACTTCTGGGGTTACTTATATTTTTCATTTTAATTCAATTCAATTAAGTTTATTTCTATTCACAACACGTCATCTGAAGGCACTTTCCAGTTCACCAGATCATACAGTCAAATTGATTTAATGTTTTCTATCTAAGGAAAACCAGTTGATTGCATCAACTCATTGAC